GGTTGATACGAAGGTTGATACGAAGGTTGATACGAAGGTTGATACGAAGGTTGATACGAAGGTTGATACGAAGGTTGATACGAAGGTTGGTACGAAGGTTGGTACGAAGGTTGGTACGAAGGTTGGTACGAAGGTTGGTATGAAGGTTGATGTGAAGGCTGATACAGAGGCTGGTGCGAAGGTTGATACGAATACATTCAGTGCTATTGTGCTATTACAATGACAATAATTCCTTTAAGATAAACTGGAATAAAGAAATTAATATGGCTAAGAAGACCTTATGTAAAATTTTGGCACCTTTATTTCGCATATTTATCCAAAAATTGAATGTGCTCGTAATACAAATCTCAAAAGAGAGCGCCTAAGATTACATTAGGTCATACAACTTGCTTAAATTAGCATTAAGATTGGTTAGAGAAATTTGTCTCCTTGAAATATATTTGGTTAGGGTAAAAAAATGGTTTAAGCAGTTTTTTAAAACATCGAAGTCTGAGATAAAATTTTGCTTAAATTGAATATTGTTTCCGATTAGTTGTCAGGTGAGAAATTTTTGTTTTTAAAAAAAGATACAATTATAAATTACGCAATCGGATCATAACAGATTCAAATCAAACAAACATGATTTTTAAGATCACGTTTTAAAACGTTTACCATCGTAAACATATGATCGATCATGGTTTTAGATGTGCACCAAAAAAAGTAAAACACTTTGTACTACGTATGATTCCGAACATAAAGAAATGCCCTAAAATACGTACATACTAATTTATAATCTCCATTAAGTAAATTCATAATCTCCATTAAGCAAATTCATAATCATAATGGCGCTGAACAATCATTGAAGTTGAGCGAATCTTTATTTTATTTCCTTTTAAGGTTTTCTACATTATTTTCGTTTGTCACTTTTTTATCTTCGGCATTTTTAACATTATCAATATTGTATCTTTGATGTTGTTTGTTATTGCAGTAATAGCACAATCAATCAGATTAAAAATTATTGAAGTCTTTGAGAAAAAATGTATAGTTGTCAGACGAAACCTGAAAGGCCTCTACTTAAGCAAAAAAAAATTAATCTAAGGAAACTGACAAAAGAGTGGAAGCTGGCAAAACGGTGGCAAAAAGCTCCGAAGTTAAAATAATGATAAAGGTGACAGTATAACTATGCAAGAGTGAAAAATAACATGATAATGTATAGTTATTAGGTATAATAAAACTAGCATATTGGCACGTGTCTATGTCATGCTTAGCAAACTTCTCTAAGTGCACACACATTTAGAAGTGAGCAAATTATAGAAAATTTAGCTAGTAAATCAAATATATATGTGATTGTTCAAACCTCTCTAAGTGCAGGCCCTTAGAACCAAAAGTAAGGCATGCATTTAGAGCGCTATTGTTCACTTTCCCCGAAATCCACCTTCCTGAAATACTATTTCTCTGCCATACCGTATAGCGCTGCATATAGTACCCTGGAATAGTATTCCCATTTTTTTAAAGCGATTTGTGATCCAATTTCCATAATTTAGTGCGACCTATCGTGTTTGGTAAGTTTAATAGCAAGAATATAGTGATCAGTAACGATTATTTGTACTATCCTCCCATATCCTAATGTAAGGAAGGTATTATTTCACTGACAAAATTCTTTCTCAGAACTTGACAAGACTCTCCGAAAGGATATTTCCCTGAAAGGGTGCACTTAGGGAGGTCTGACTATAGATTGTTTAGTATAGTGAAGCATCCATAAATGCACCCTCCATAAATTCACTTTTCTTATTGTTCTCTAAGCGCACGTCATTAAAGTTCGGTCGCACTTAGAGAGTTTTACTGTATACAAATAATAATGCTTTTCTCTATTATTAACAGGTTTTTAATTCATGGTTTAGTTGGTTTACATCTACACCTAATATTTTTTATTAGCCCTGATTGTTAGGTATCTTTCTTCCATTATAAATTTATGATATTACTTATCATTTTATTGATTACCATATCTAAAAAAAACTTCTTTTTTTTTAAACGCAATAGCTAATCCAAGTTTATTAACTTTCAATTTATAATAACTACGTTTCATAAGTTATATAAGCGAATTAAATCATTAATATTATCAAGCAATAACTAAAAACCTAATAAAATTATATATTAACATTAAAAAAAATTAGATCTAATAACTTGATTAAAATTTGCACTACTTGTACTTTAATCCGCATTTGCTATCAGCCACTTTTCGATAAAAAGCATACGCTTTATATTCATCCTTTTCGACTCCTATTCCGTTTTGATAGAAATGGCCGACTTTGTATATTCCATCAACATTCCCCATGTCTACGGCTTTTTTATAATAAACAAACGCTTTTTTTTCGTCCTTTTCAACTCCAATTCCGTATTGATAACAAACACCAACATGATACGTTCCAGTAGCACTACCCATTTCTGCAGATTTTTGATAATAAATGAATGCCTTATTTTCATCACTATCAACTCCAATTCCATTATGAAAACAATAACCAATATTATATGTTCCAATAGCACTACCCATACCTGCAGATTTTTGATAACAAAGGAATGCCTTATTTTCATCTCTTTCAACTCCAATTCCACATAGAAAACAATCACCAAGATATATTACTCCCCTAGCGTGTCCCATACTAGCTGACTTATTACAATAAAGAAATGCTTTATTTCTGTCCATTTTAACACCCAATCCTTTTTTATAACAATCAGCAAGTTTATTTAATCCACAAGGATCATCCATTTCAGCTGACATTTGATAATAAACGAATGCATTGTGTTCATTTTTTTCAACCCCAATTCCATCTTCATATAATTCTCCAAGATCACACATAGCATAAGAATTTCCCATATCAGCAGATTCTTTGTAATAAATAAACGACTTATATTCATCTTTTTCAACCCATTTTCCATAACGATAGCAACGTGCGAGAATAGTTAAAAGTATTGAATTTGTTCGATTATTTAAGCATAAATTAATTAGATCTTCTGACTTTAATTGATTTCTTTCCAAATATTTTTCTATTGAATTAATAAATTCAAAATCATAACTTCCTTTTGATGATTCCTTTTCATGCAATTCACATAGTCCATCAATTATTGTCTTATCGTCATGCAATGTGCATAATGATAATTTATCAATTATTTGTTTATCTAAGGAATCCTGAGACTCATTACCGTCGTGTAACATATTTATTGGCGTAAAGGATTAGTCTTGTTTTTGATAGTCGTGAATTTCGTCTTTTACTGACCGTTTCTGTAAGTTGATTATTTTAAATGAAAAGACAGTGTTATTTGAATATTTATAAATTTATCAGTAGACATCATGGTTTTAATTGTAATACTGGACGTACGTATGTACATCATATTTCGGAATAAAAAGACCGATTACGCCACAAGACTGATCGACAGAAATTTTCGAATTTTCGATATGGCATACTGGGATCGTTGCAAATCCAAAAAGGGAAATTAGCCAATCTGAGGACGTAAATAGTGATTATGAGCAAAGCGAAAAAAAAAACGAAAAGAGCGAAAATACAAGAAAAAGAGTGTTTAAACCCGCCTTAGAACACTAATTAAAAATGACGGGAATGAAATTTTACATGTAGAGAGTGATTATTTATTTCTATCGCCTCTAATTTAACGTACTAACCCTAAATTTTAATTTCACGAACTTAGTTTTATATGTATGTATATTCAATGACGGACTTAACATATAAGTGTAAAAAGGATTATACTTAGAAGTACTGTCTTCCCCCTATATAGTACCTCCTCTATAATCACATCATATTAAAACCCTTTTATAATCACACAACACTTTACTAATAAACTTATAAAAAAATACTTCTTCATATGCACACCATAGTAAAAACCTTTATACAATCACAATTTGCATGATACAGACTGTGTGATTATAGAGGAGGAAAACAGTATAAAGACAATTATACTTGAATGCACAATATATTTGATATCTGTAGTGAGACACAGCATAGCTACAGCGTTTATGAATCTTATCGTTATTGATTTTTTTAAGAAATATACTTAAAATTACCTAGAGTAATTATTACTATTTTTATTCTTAGAGATAGGGTGCAGTTTGAAATCAAATTTTTAAACAATGATAAACATATGGGCTAGGTGCTGCAAAAAGAGGCGAAATTGACAATATTTTTTTTTTAAAAAAAATTTAAACTTAATTAATTTAAAATTAGTTTAAAAACATTTTCACTTAAGGAACAAATATTGTTATTTTAATAAAATTTTGCAGTATAATTTTTTAAAGTTTTTATTTTCTTGTAATTTATTATAGAATTTATAATATAAAAATCAATTTTTTACAAACCTTTTTTTTGTTAATTTTATTTCTTTTTATAGCATCTAGTTTATATAAGAAAAGTTAATAAAAATAAGACAAATAATTTTTTTAAAAAATTTAAATAAAATATTTTAATAATTATCTAATTAAATTTTCTATTTTTTTTTAATTATTAAGGTAAGTACTTGTAATCTAGAATTTTATTAATAGTATATTCAGCTAATAGTTGTTTTACAATCACAAAAGACAATTATGAAAAGAGTGTACAACTAGTTACTTATACAATTTTAGTTATTGTCTAATTTAAGTAGTCTACTTGAAGGTTTTATATTAGTTGTCATACCTAGAATCTGCTTATAAGTTTTTTATTTAAACGTTTTGGTTTTTATATTTATTTACTTATCTATATTTATCAATTATCCTAATTAATACTAATACATATATCATAATCATTAAGTTTTTAAAGCAATTTACTTTTATAAAAGATTTTGATTTTATATTAAAGTTTTTAGAATCTTTAATCTTCTATTTTTATAATTACTCTGATAATACTATAGTTGAAACTAATATTTGCAATTAGAATTAATTATTAAACTATTATGTTCTTATAATGTTTACTCAATTTCAACTACTTATTTTATAATATATCTTTGTTATTTTAGTATTTAATTTAAGTTCTATTAAGTTTTTAGTCTAGATAATTTAGAAAGATAATATAATTAATCTTTAATATAAATAGACAAATATGATTATTATATAATTATAATATATATACATTAATTATTTTAAATTAATTTAAGTAAATTTACAAATAGTTAAGATTAAAATTAAGATTATAATATAAATTAATTTAAATTAGATAAGAGATATAACAACTTAGTAAAGTAAATAAGTTGTTAATCCTT